CATAGTGGCACAGACGTCATCCAGGACGCTCATGATCCCAGGGGGGTTCTGGAAGAGGGAGAGCAAAGCTAGGGCTGACCAAAGGCTGTAGGCAGGGCTCAGTCCTGCACCTGGCTGCAGATGGGTGTCCTGTGCTGCTCAAAGCAGCTTTGCACTGAACTATAATTTGGATGCAAGATGGGGCTGCTGTTCCCTGGGGGTGCAACCAGCAGGGCTGGTCCTTGCCCCCCACTCACCAGTTTGTTCTCTATCAGGTCGCACACCACCTTGTTGTTGAAATATTGGATCTGGGTCCACTTGATGCCCTCCTGCACATACTCCTCCTGAGGGAGAAACAGGAGAGCTGGAGGGGCTCCATCTCTATACCCATGGGACATGTGCAGGGTGGGGGAATTGGAATTTCAGCCTCCCCATACCTGCTCTGCCTTCAGGGTGAGCTCTATGAAGATCTGCTGCAGCTTCTCATTCACAAAGTTAATGCAGAACTGCTCAAACCCATTTTTCTACAAAACAGTAGAAAAAGAAGGGGTTGAGTTGTTTTCTACATCAAGGTGACCCCAAATGGAGGTACTACTCCAGGTCCCCTCCTCTGGAGTAGGGCAGTCCTCAGCTGGGCTCCCACAGCAAAGCAGGACTCACCTGGAATATTTCAAAGCCATAGATGTCCAGCACTCCAATGCTGTACTCCTCATAGGGTTTCTGCATGGCCCTATTGATGGACTGTGGGAAAAGGACAGCAGGATCCACTTCAAATGAATGGCAAACACCCCCATCCCATGGCTGTGCTCCTGCAACCCCGGGAACCCACCTCCACAAGGAAGTCAAAGACACGGGCATAGAGCCCCTTGGCCAGGGCATCCCGTGTGTAGGCTGCCTGCTCCACGTTGAGGGTGACGTTGATGGACTCGGAGCGGCCGCCCCACTTGCTGTCCATCTTGCGGCTGGTGATCTTGTCGTTGAGGCGGTTACGGTCGATGCCCAGCAGGTAGGCAGGGAAGGCCAGAGCTGGGCAGAGGGGGTCAGCGCTTCCTGCAACCCCCCCCTACATGATGTTTCCCCCATCCCACCAAACACAATGGGGGACAACAGAGGGGCAGCTCTGCTTGATGTGGGACAAGAACTGGGCCCAGTGCTCCAGATGTGGCCTCCCCAGGACAGAGCAAAGGTGAGAATAATCTCAATTTCCCTGCTGGCCACATTCTTCCCAATGCAACCAGGGTCCCTTCTTCGCCACCATGGCACACTGGTGGCTGATGGTCAACCTGCTATCAACCACTGGTCAACCATTGGTCAACCATTGGTCAACTGTTGTTCAGTCATTGGTCAACAGTTGATCAACTGTTGGTCAATAAGGACACCTAGGTGCAGAGCACCCTTCCAGCAGTTCATACCCTAACCTGCACTGATGCATCAGATTTGGGGAAGGTACTGGTGCTACCTCTCTACTGGGTCAGTAGTGCTATGGAGAGGTTGTGATTTGTTGCCAAGGGTCTCCGTGGCACCTAGGCTTGCTCCCTGGAACAAGGAAGAGTTCAGCTACTCACAGTCAGCATTCTCCACCCGGGCATAGTTGCCCTCCTCCCGAAAGCTGATATTCCCCAGGTGTAAGATCCCAGCAACGATCTGCAGCACCAACTGCTGGTCCTCACCCCGGATGCCGATGACCTGCATGGCGTTCTGGGGGCACACAGGGGGTTGTCAGTCCCAGCTTGGCCTTTGACAGCTTTGGGAACCTTCCTGGGGGCACTCACCATGGTCTCAAGGAAATCACTGCGATCATCCGTGCCCTCCACCTGGAACGTGTCTGACTGGTTCAAGTAGTAGTAATAATCAGGGCTCATGATGCCCAGGTTCTGGCGCTGCTCTTGGGATGCCCCTTCAATGAGCTGTGGGAAATCAGGGGTGATGCAGTCACCGGCCCTACAGCCCTGCACCCAGCCGGCCCCGCTGCCCCATACCTGGTAGTAGATGTGGAAGTTCCTCTCATGCTCATTCTGGCTCACCACCCGTGACTTCTCCAGCAGGAAGTTGGAGATCTTCCCCCCATCGGGCTCTCCGCCCCGGCTGAACTGGATCTCAAAGTACTTCCCCTATGTGGGCATAGAGCTGTCAGTGCATCCGCGTGGACAAATCCTGTCTGTGACACTGCATGGTGCCAGCAGGCAGCACGCTCTGTGCCAGCCCTGGTGACTTACAAAGCGGCTCGAGTTGTTGTTGCGGACAGTTTTGGCGTTGCCAAAGGCTTCCAGCAGTGGGTTGGACTGCAAGATGATGTCCTTCACGTGCTGGTGGACAGAGCAGGGCATGGGGGAGAGCAGGACCCTCATGAGTGGGTCCTGCATTCACTGCAGCTGCCCCAAGGGGCTGGGGATGGAGCTGGGACCCCGACCCTTGGAGCTGCTGTGTGCAGGGACTGGGGAGCAGAGATGTCGAAAGGCAAAGCTATGGGTACATGGTGGGAATCAGACTTACCTGCACCTTTTCACCACCCCCAGACACTTTGGAGATGTAGCCCATGATGTATTTTGCTGCCACTGTTTTCCCAGCACCACTTTCTCCACTGTGCAAATGTCAAAAACAGAGGAGAGGTGAAATGGGAGCCCATGGGGTGATCTCGTGGGATGCTGGAGGCTCTGGGACAGGGCAGGGCAGTGTGAGGAGCTGCAGCAGGAGGTGCTGGATTTTGGAGGGAGGGCTGAAGGGGAAGTTTAGCCTTGCCCCACTTCCTCACCCCTTCCTTGCAACACTCAGCCGGAAAAGTGCATTGCACAAAGCTCAGTCCCCAGCTGGGAGCACAGCCCCCAGGACTGCACAGGGCTGCAGCTATCCCTCGTCCTGTGTTTGCCTGGGGCACCCCAAGTGCTGGGGAAGGGTATTGGGGCACCCGGTCACCCCCTACCTGATGATGACACATTGGTTCTCCCCATCGATCAGCATGTTTCGGTACATGTTGTCCGTCAGGGCGTAGATGTGGGGGGGATTTTCATACTGAGCCTAAAACAGGGGTGTAAGGATGGTGATGCTGGGATCTCCTTAACTCTGCCCACATGTGCAGGAGGCAGCAGCACAGTGCCAGGTGCTTGCTTCAGTACCCCACACTTGTGGAAGAGCATAGGGCAGAACCAAGCGCCGAGGTATGGTTTTAAGTCACTTTGGTGTGCACTATGAGCTGAATTTCCTTTGAAATGTGTACTCACATTTCTTACAAACTCACCATTTGGGAGCACTGACCCTTGCAATACCCAAAGCTCATGGGAAAATCCCAGGTGCTTGCATGCAAATGCAGGAAATTAATGCTAATGAACCCCTGTGAGCCCCTTGCCAGCCCTGCAGCCTCACCGCCCCCTGGTACAGCTCAATCTCTCGGTCGGTGAAATATGGCATCTGCTTGAAGGGGTTGACGGAGATGAGCACTGGTCCAATGTAGGTCTGGGCAGTAGGTCAAGGTCCGTGCATCCTCTCCCATGTCCCATGCCCATGTCTCATGAACCACGTCCTGTGTCCCATGTCCCATGTCCCCCTTCCTGCTCACAGCATCAGCAATGCGTGCCAGGGGGTCTCAGCCCTCTTCCAAACACAGCACCAGGATTGTCACAAGGGGTTCAGCTCAGGACCTGGTGCTCATTCAGCCTTTCGGTCTGCATGCAGCATCCCTAAAGCGTATGGGTTGGGGCTGTGCCTGGAGCTGATGTGGTGGTGGGTGGGGATGAGGTGCCCTTGGGTTGATGCTGGGGATGTAGTCGGTGTGGGGCTGATGTCCTTTTTTCAGGGGAGAACTTTGGGGTTGTTTTTTTTGGGAAATGCAGAAGCATGGGGCATTGAGTCACAGCTGGAGGGGGGCGAAAAAAGGAAGAAAGAGGCTGCGTGGGGTATTTTTTCCTCCTCCTCCAAAAAAAGCCAACCCCAAGCCCAACCCCCAAACACATTGAAAGCCCCGGGGCTGCTGATGGAGTGGGCAGCAAGCTGCGTCACCTCCAGCCAGGGCTGAGCATTGCCTTGTAAGGCCAGAGCTGAGACTGGGGGAAACCACAGCTGCAGAGAGTGCTCCACACCCCAGCTCCTACAGTGTCCCATTCTGCAGCCACAGAGCCTCTCCTCTGTCCCTGGAGCTGGGGATTGAGTACAGTCCAGCCATGCAGCTGGGTGCTGAGTTGGCTATGAACCCAAGCAGGTGCTGGGTTGGGTTCCCAACTGGGGACAGTTCCCCATCCTCAAGGAGCCTGAGAGCCTCCAGACCTCAAGCTCATTGCTCACCTCTGTGACACCCTGTAACCAAAAATGCATACGGGTTGGGGGACAACTTGTAAGGGACAGGGGCTTTGCATCCTGCATGGGCTCAGTGGTGTCCCATCCACATGCATGCTCCCACCCCATCCAGAGTTTGCTCGGGTCTGCGGTTGATGCAGAGCACCTGGTGGGCATCCATGCAATTTGGGCAACAGCAGGAGGGGATGATGTCAGTGATGATGAAATCATGGAATAGCTTAGGTTGGAATGGACCTCAAATCCCACCAGATCAGGCTGCCCAAGGCTCCATACAGCCTGGCCATGTGCACCTCCAGGGATGGGGCACTCACAGCTCTCTGGGCACCCTGGGCCAGTGCCAAGGATGATGCCAGAACCTCTGGACATAAAACAGTGGGATCACACTGTTGATGATAGTAAGGGGACCTTCCCCTGGGTATCAGTGTTGCACATGTGCTGCACCAGATCTAAAGGGCTGCCACCACCACCTGCATCCCCCTGGCTGATCCTGACCCCAACCCCATGCATGGATAGACAAGCTGTAGGTGTTGGCAAAGTCTTGGAGCACAGTCCCATTTCTCCCCATCCCCACCCTGGGAAGGATACGAAGATGTAATCATCCATAAAGCGCTTCTTGAGGTTCTCCACGATGGCCTCCTCGGAGATCTTGGCCAGCAGCACCATGTCATCCACACCGCTCTGCTTGACGTTGTGGCTCTGCCAGTGGAAGCGCTCCTTGCTGCCCTGCAGGGAAAGGCACAGAGTTTTGCAGCAGGATCCAGCCCCCAAACTGCTGGTACCCAAATAGGCCAAATGACAGCAGCATCAACCAGGGAGTCCCAAGAACCTGCTTTCCTGCTGCCCCAAATTGCCCCTACGTTGTCCTCGTGGGTAGCAGAAAGGAAAACTGGGAGCTGCAATTTAAGCCATTGTGGGGCTACACACAGCCTGGGGTGGGGTGGGATCACACTGTGCACAAAGAAACCCCTCAAAGGGTCCTCATTCCAGGAGAGGACCAGATCTGGTCCATGGCCACCGGCCCCATGGTTCCGCTTTCACCCTAATGCTCCCAGAGCTGATTTCACTTCTCCCCCATCAGCCCCAGCCTCTTACTCTTTCCATTTCCCTTTTCTTCTCTTCCCCTTTTGTTTCATTGTCCTGCCCATTCTCAAGCTCTCAGACCAGGGGACCCCACTGCCTTTGCTGCTCACAGCTCCACCCTTGGGGGCTGGCACAACCCAGCAGCATTAGGAGGGGGCACAGGGGGAACCTCGTGGAGGTTGGTGGCACCAGGCTGCTCCCACTGACCCCTCCATTCCCAGGGGGCTGCTGAGATCTGCAGCCCTAGGCACAGTGTGTCTGTTCCATGCAAAATCTCAGAACCCAACAACTCTGAGTGATTGAAGGGCTTTTGGCTCCCATGTCCCAGTGCCTCCAGTTGGGATGCACGGACCTGGGTGTGATCAGGGCTGCTCATGCCGCTTCTCTTTCTCCTCTAGTTCATTGATCATTGTTTGTTTTTTTTTTGGTTCTTTGTTGGCCTTGTTTGGCTCCTCCTCCCCCCCTCCATCCTAACAAGCCCATAAAAAACCACAGGGGGCACAGTTCAAGCATTGTCTCCCACAGTTCTGCTGGTGACCCCAACCTGAGCACTCAGGGACACTGACTCCTTCCCAACCCACAGCCCCCATCACCCCGGGTCTCCTTGTGCAGGCACCCTGCTCTCACACCGCCATTTCCGGCACAGAATTAAGGCAAAAACAGGCATTTCCTGGTCTGTGGTTCCGAGCTTTTGAGCTCACACCCGGAGCTTCTCCTTCCTTGGGCACAGATCAGGGGCTTTCCTGGCTCAGCCTGGTGCCAGATGCAGTACAGCTGCAGGAAAAGCACCAGCTCGCTTTGAATGAAGGGTTTGTCCCCTGTATCAGCAGGGTCATGGGTGGTTCCACCTCATTTCTGGCTTTCCTCTGTGCATCCCATGAGGTGAAGGGTTTCGTGATGCTGCAGTTTGCTCTGCCGGGGGAGCAGCCTTGCAGGAGGAGGAGGTGGTTGGATTCTGAAGCACTGTTGGACACTGCTTGATCTCACTGCTCAATGAGCCCCAGGGATGGGTGAGGGGCTTGGGTGGAGTCCCCATGGGAAGCAAAGCGCTGTGCAGGGCAGCAGTTGAATTGCTCTGAGGTTTGGGCCAGTCCCTCCACCACCACTGGCCAAAGCAAGGGGTGAGAGCAGGGGTTTGACAACCACCTGCCTGGATGGGCTGGAATCAGACACCTCTCTGAGCCACTCCGTCCTCAAGCCAAGCAGAAGCATCTTAAGCATCACCTGGACCAGGCATCCTGTACCCTTAGCAGCCACTCTGTGCACAGCCCCGTGCATAGTGGCTGTAGAGGCCACCAGGACCCTCCTTGCAGCAGCATGGGGACTGTCCCTGTATGAGGATGGGTGCACCCAGTGACCCTGGGAGCACTGAGCGTGGGGAGTGGCCCTGCAGCAGTTATCACAAACTGTTGCTTGTTTTTCTTCAAAGCTCAGGTATGAACCACCAGAAATAACCCTGTGAGCTCCGGATGCAGAGCAGCCCAAAGTGGCACCTTGAGATAGGCAAGGGCAGATGCAGCCAACACCTCTGAAACCACAGGAAGCCTCAAAGAAGAGCAGCACGAGGCGGTGCATCACTACCAGCAGCCTGCTCCAAGGCACCAACATCTGGGGATGGGGCGTTGCCCCAGTGTTTTGGGGCTGGGACTGGGCAGGGAGTGGGAATTCAGCCCCACAGCTCCTTGTGGAGACACAAAATGTCACCAGGCACAGAGGGGACAGTGTGTGTCTCATGGGAACAGTGTGGCAGTGGCCTTGCAGAGGTGACAGCTTCAAATAAGTATTACTGCAAGCAGGATGCTGTGCTGCACCTCAGCCACTGTCCTTCAGTTCCTGGCTGGTGGGAAGTGATGCTCGGGTACAGTGTCATGCAGAGATGTGCAGGGAGCAGAGCTGTGGGCTGGAGGATGTGGCCACAGCCGTGCTGTGCAGTCGCTCGCTGTGTCTCTGAGCATCATCTTTGTTCTGAGAGCCTCCATCGTCATCTTCATCCTCCAGATCAACTTCCAGCTCTGGCCGCTGCCCTTGCAGCAGCCCCAGGGTGTGAGTTAAGGCCCTGAGCACCCAGTATGTCCCCCCACCCAAGCACAGGGACACCCAGCAACCCTCACCCCACCCATGTGCTCTGCCTGTGCCCTGAGCCCTGAAACCAGAAGTGCTGGTGGGAAGCTGGGTTGGGAGGAACACAGGGGTTCCCCTGCAGGCATTGTGCTGAACTGAGCTCAGCACCTGCTGCCCTCCATCCTGCTTGAGTCAGTGCTCCCAGCATCAGCTCAGCACCAATCCTTCACCAATCCTTCTCCAATCCTGCACCAATCATTCTCCAATCCTGCACCAATCCTGCACAGCATCACCAGCTGCTCCCCTGCACTCAGCCCCAGCTCTGCTCCTTCTCCTCAAGCCTGGATGTCTCTGTCCCCTCTCCACCAGGGACACAGTGACACCTCCAAGCAGCAGTGAGGGACCCAGGTGGGTGCAAGGGGGGAACAGGGCTGGGACAGCACTGTGGCAATAGGAAGAGCAAAGTGACATCCCAACAGCATCTGGGGAAGGGGTGGGGGCAGGCAGCTCAGCAAGGACCCCTCTGGCACTCACCATGGTGTCCCTGTGTCCTGTCCCTGGAAACGGGGCATCCGTGGCTGCTGTCACCGAGGGCCAAAGTCCATCACTCTGGGCTTCTCTTTCGTGTTTCTGTTGCAACTACAGACTGCAACTCAGTTTTTTCCTCCTCCCACTTCCTCATTTAGGGCCTTTTTTCTGGGTGGGGGAGAGAGGAGGGCGTCTCCCTGCTGCTGGAGGGCCTTGGGGTGGCCCTGCCCAGTGTGTGCCCAGTGCCACTGCCAGTGGGTGCTGAGGTCACCATATGGGATCTGGGCATTGCTGATGGATGCTGCTCAGAGCCTCTGCAGAAACTTTTCTCCCACTGTGGGGTACAGTGTGATGTGTCTGTTTTGGGGAGATGCTCTACTCCAAGGTGGATTTAGGAGCGAGATGCTTTGGGTTGTTGCTTCTTTTTTGTAGATCTTTTGGTTCAGATGGACCACAAATGTGGAGCATTTTGCTTGAAGCCATTTTAGAGCCCTCCCTGGCTGCAGTGTGTGGGGGATGAGAGCAGGGCTGCCTGCCATCCCAGATCCCCTGCAATGCACTGCTTCATGCCTCAGGAGGCAGGAATGGGAACCGGGAAATGCCATTAAAATTACCACTGTGGGAAGGGTAAATGCTGGGGCCAGGGCTGAATTCTGCTCAGTTGGGCACCATCACAGCATCCTGCTGCCCTCTGCTCCATTACCCATTCTTATTCCATCTCTTGCACTGCCAGTTCCTGAAAGAAAACTCTAAAATCCCAAACCAGCCTTAGTGATCTCCTTCATGCCTTGGGGTCTGCCAAGGAGAAGTTGGTTCCTTCACATCATACAGCAGCTCTGGGCAAACCCCCAAACCTGATATGATCCCTTGGGGTGCGGGGAACCCCTTAGAACCTCTTTTTCTGCACAAATCCTTCTTCCAGCATCAGCAAAGCAGCATCACAGCTGGAGGGGGTGGCTGCCCAGGACTGAGGCTTTCCAATGGAGAAATAACACCGGGACCAGAAGCTGCACCTGGGATCGTAGCTACTCCTTTATTATAAATCATGCCGTTACGTCGCTCCTCCTCAGAGTTAGTATTTTAAACATTTTTTTTTCATTATATATATCTATATAAAAAGGTGAAAACACCCCTCCCAAAACGTCAGAATGGAGCTTTGCACTGGGGACGCCCACTCGCCAGCAAAAGGGGATTGCTGAGCACCAGAGAAGCTGCGATCAGCTCCGAGCAGGGAAAAATACAGACAGGAGAGGAACACATCAGGGCTGGAGGGGTCTCCTCTGGGAAAAGTGGCTGACCCTGCACCCTGCACCCTGAGGATGACCTCCATGGAGAACAGAGCATGGCCTGGGACAAGGTTTCTCCTCTTTGTGATGCAGAAAGGCCCCAAAATAATACTAGTAACAAGAAGCACATGCTTGGTACATCGCAAATTTGGATCTTCTCCCGCAGGCTGCTGTGGCCTGTGGAGATGGGTGGGTTTGGCCAGGAGGAGGGGATCTGGAAGAATGTTAACCTGCTCTTTTCCCGTGGTTGGAGGTCTCCAGGGGGTGGCTTTGGGACTGGCACCCTGAGGGGCATGCAGTGAGATGCTGGAGGAGGCAGAGCACCGTTGGAGGCAAAGCACCTTTGGAGGCAAAGCACACTTAGAGGGAAAGCACCTTCAGAGGCCACGGCATTCCCTGGGGTGGACCCAGCCAGGGCCAGGCACAGATTGGTCCCACTTCATGGCTTAGCCATGGGGACACTGTGGCCATGAGTTCTCCTCCTGTATCCTCCCTGGCTTTGCTTCTTGCAGCCCAGCACATCCTCAATGCCCCATAAAGGATCGTGCAACCCCAAGCATGCCTCAGCCCTGACAGCTTGTGCTTTGAGGTGCCTCCAGAATCAAAGAATAGTCATAATAGTGACAAGGGCTTTTAGGAAAAATAGAGGGAAGCCCCAGTCGAAGTAGGCTGTTAAGAGAGTTGGAAGAACTCCCTCTCCCAGTTAAACTGGTGTCACTGCTCCGCTCACTGTTCTCCATCACCCTCTGCAGGTCCCAAGGTGATGGGGCGCAAATGACGAAGCCAACAGCCCTGCTCCCACCTTGCACCCCAAGGCAGCTCGTCTCCATCCAGCACCCAGAAGCACATCACCCTTGGCACCTGAAAACTCGTCCCCGTGTCCCCAGCCCTCGGGATGTGGGAACTTCGGTACCTGCAGGACCTGGGTCCGCTACGAAATAAATAACAGTCTCAGAATTTCAAGTAATGTCCCTGCTGCCGCGCTCTGCCCAGCTTCTCCCTCTCCCACCACGTTGACCTGCTCCTCTCGTGCTTGGCCGTGTTCTCTGCAGCAGCCAGCAGTGGTTTAACTGGGATCCTGCCGTTGGGATGCTCGGGGACGAAAGGTGCGTGTCTTTGGGGGACAGGTGGGGTGACGCCGGCTCCCTCTGGAAGCACGACCAGTGTCTGTGTTGGACCCAGGGGAAGGTTCCCGGGGCGAGAGGAAGGGCCTGGCTCGGTGGCCCTCTGGCACACCTCTTGCCTTCCAGTTTTCCCGTGGGGTCACCGTGTTCCTAGTGCCCCTGGCATGTTTTACAGCACATCTGTCGGAAGTAGGTCCGGCTGCAGAACTTGAACTTCAGGACAAGCGGGCAGTAGGCCACCTTGTTCACATCCTTGCATTCTGGATGGGTGACAAAATGGAGTGGAGTTACAGATGAGCCCAGGACGAGGAGCCCCGTGGGGTGGCTTTTACCATTCCCCCTCAAGCTCCTGCTGTTTGCTATGGAGCAGCAGGATGTGTTGGTGCTCAGAAAGATACCTCTCTTAGTTACTTCACCAACCAAGGTCATGGCGACCAGTTTGGCCGTGGCCTACAGGGTACAGCGTTGAGTGTGCCCCATAGCCTCACCCCATTGCACCCAGAGCTGTGCCCTTGTACCCTGTGGCTTTGAAGCTGGTGTGGCTCAGTGCTTTCCCCCAATCCCACTGCTTCTCTTACCTTCAGGGTTGTCTGTGGGTCCTGACTCGCACTTGGTCTCACACTGCTGCATGCCAGGGGGCTGCAGGGTCTCCAGGCAGTCGCTGGAGGGCTGCCCGGTGTGAGCCAGGCACTGGACGGATCGTCGCTGCTGGCCAAGGCCACAATGTGCAGAGCACTGCCGGGGAAGAACACAACACTGTGATGTGGGGGAAGAGGGCACAGCAGCTCCCAGGAGGTGCAAGGGGTGCTTGAAGCAATTGCTCCTTCTCTTGGCAGCAGTGGCACAGCTGAGAGCTCCAGTCCTGCTTCCCAGAATCTTGATCCAAGGCTCCAAGGTTCTCTGCAAGAGTCTGTCCATGCAGCCTTGACCCACTACCCCTTCCCAGCCTTCCTGTCCTCCCATGTCAAAAGGGATGCCAGCATTGCCATGCTAAAGGGAATGATGGTAGCCCCACTTGCAGCCATTCCAGCACACCACTGTGTCCCAGGGATGAGCTGTGTCACACACAAGAACATCTGAGCTTATAGTGACCGCCAGGTGTCCTTGTGGTTGCACACACACTGAATTGTGCCCAGACACCTGCTGTGCTGCTGCCATGTCCCAGATTATGGTCATACTGTCCCAGGGTGCCCCCTTCACCCTATAGCTTGGCTGGGGGGGTGCTGATACATTTGGAACTCAGTCTTTGACAGTGGGTTTGTGTCTGCTCCATGTGCACATAGAGATGTTTGTGTCCCAGGGTCTCTGAGCTCACTCTGATGACATTGTGTAGTCTCCAGGATGTGAATGAGGGGTGGGCAGCCACCCAGCCCCACTGCCATGGCAGGACACCCCTCCTTGTTGGTAGCAGTGAGGTTTGAAGCCATAGATCTAAGGGATTATGGGCAAGCCAGGGGGGTTTTCAGACGTTTGCAGAATGTGTCATGTAGAGGTGGCACTTGGCCCCTTTATTATTATTATTTTATTTTATTTTATTTTATTTTATTGTGTTTTATCCTGCATTTGCCTTTTGTGCTGCACAGCAGCTGGAATGCTCAGTCTCTACCTGGCTGGAGGGGAGAGAGCACTGCCAACCTGGCAGGGGACACTCAGAAATTCATGGCACATTCTGCAAATGCCTCAGGGCATCCCTCCAGCAGGCAGAGAGCCAGCTGGGCTAGGAGATGTGGGGACAACTCTATGTCACACTGACATGTTGACAGCCATGCCACCAAGGGAGCGGGTAAAAGGCTCACGTGGGATTTGTGGGGATAGGGAGGGAGCATCCATACCTCTCCCCACTCGCCGGTCACCCAGCGTGGGGGTGGGCAGCGCCGCAGGTTGCACCTCATGCTGGTGGGGGGTTTGGAGCCCTCGGGGCACTGGGAGGTGGGCAGTGTTGCACTGTGGTCGCCGCTCTTGCAGAGCACAATGCGGTGGCGGAAACCTGGCCCACAGCTCGGGGTGCACTGCAGGGAGGAGACATGAGTGTAATCAAGACGTGCAACAAGGAGCACAGAGAGTGGTAGCATTGCCCACCAATGCTCCTGTCTGCTAAACTGCAAGAGGACAGCTCCCCATGTTACTCTCTCCATGGGCAGCATCACCAGTGGTGATGGGTGGTGACGCATTGGAACAGGTTGCCCAAGGAGGTTGTGGATGCCCCATCCCTGGAGGCATTCAAGGCCAGGCTGGATGTGGCTCTGGGCAGCCTGGTCGGGTGGCTGGCGACCCTGCACATAGCAGGGGGGTTGAAACTAGATGATCATTGTGGTCCTTTTCAACCCAGGCTGTTCTATGATTCTATGATTCTACCCCAATGATTTACACCATCCTACATCCTTGGGCAGCTGAGGGCAGTGGATGAGCACTTACCTCAGACCAGTCCAGGGCGACCCATTCTGGAGGGCACGTCTGGTTATTGCAAGGCTCTAGCATCTTCGGCCGTGGTTGGGTGCAGGAGGCATCATCCAAAGTCTTCTCTTCAGTGGCGGAGATCTTACGCTTGCAAAAGACACTGCGAGTACGGACGCCCTCATTGCAACTTCGGCTGCATTCGGACCAGTTCCCGATCACCCATCTGGGGATGGAGAGAAAAGCAAAGATGGAAAGGGCACAAAGCAGACATCTCCCCAGGCAGCGTCACCCCTAGGGACTGCAGCAGAGGACTGTGACTTGGGAGTGGCAGAGGGGAGGATTTCACCTTCTTCCATCCATGCTCCCTCCACCTGTGGTACTCACGCAGGGGCACACGGCTCGGTGTTGCACGGCCTCTGCCGCTCCAGCATTTTGGTTTCAGGGCTACAGAAATGGTTGGAGACTGTTGAGCTGTCAGAGAGTTTCCTGCACACGACAGATTGGATCTGGCTGCCTGCCGAGAGAAGGAGGCAATGGGGTGAGACCAAGGCTGAGGATTGAGCTGAGCCAGGCTGCAGGCACTGCCCCACGGCTCTGCCACTTGCTGCACCTTATCAACCTGGAGCACGTTTCTCTATTCCTAACCAAGGCCTCCTTTGCCTCCAGCATCTCCAAGAAGGCTGTGAGGGCAGCATCCAGCAGAGCTTGTGGAGGAGGTTGGAACTAAATAATCTTTATGGTCCATTTCAATCTAAGCCATTCTATGCTTCTATGACATTGCCCTTGAAAAAAGTCATAAACTTTGTCTTTTGACACCTTTCAGTAAAGGTCTAGGGGGCATAGTTCGCAGAGGAGATGGAAACATCAGCCTCAGTCTGTGTCTAGCAAACATGAGCAGGTCAGGGGCCTTAGCTTTAAGCAGGAAACATTACTAGACTTTGATTTTCAAAGGCTCTCAATTCTCACTCTCATCCAGGCTCTCCATAGTCATGTAGATGGACAACATGACCTTCAGAGGTCCCTTCCAACTCAAATAATTCTACAATAAGACCTGATGCAAACCTTTGTGTCTGCCCCCATGGGAAGCAGCCCAAGGGATCCAGGGGAAAGCTTCCCTCTGCTGACACCAGGTCAAACCTCACCTCCTGCACACAGCACTGAGCACTTGGTCCACGGGGTGTAGTGCCATGAGTACTGGTTGGACGCATCTCTGCTGATGGGAGCATTGAACTTGTACCGGATCCCCTGCAGCTCTGTCCTCACGAGGACCTGTGGAGAACACATCAGTGCCACAGAATCCAGCATGGCTGTGGCTGTTCTGATGGTGTCCCCAAGCCCCAGTGTCTTGTCTGGAATTCAGGGTGGCTGAAGTCTCTTCCCTTTCCTCTTTCAGCCCCTTCCGTCATGAACATAGCAGCCACCAGAGGTGACATTGGAACGGGCATGAAGGTGACATGATCAGAGAACAAGATCCTATGCACTCTCAAAATGAGCATTTCCATATCTTGGCAGATCAAGGGATGGAGACCTGAGAATTTAGTGCAATTTACCTTTTATCCCTGTGCCCCTTTTACACCGAGCAGCAAGGACAGGGGATGGTTATCTCTAATTTCCATGTAGACACCACAGAATCCCTTTAGACAAGGTCTGGTGGGGGCACAAAGGAATGTACTGTTACCAACCATGACAAAGAGGGTGACATTGGTGGGCCCCAGGGCCTCCAGGGACTCAGGTTCATCTGGGGATCTCCTGTAGTGGAAGGTGGTGCCCGCGATGTCGAAGCGTCGCGGCGGGTCGATGGAGAGCTTCCCATTGATGTAGTAGTCACCAGCATCACCTCTCAATGCTGCCAGGACAGGGGAGCCAGAGTCAGCAGAAAGGCAAAGCACATGCCCACATCAACAGAGAAGAGAAGAGAAGAGAAGAGAAGAGAAGAGAAGAGAAGAGAAGAGAAGAGAAGAGAAGAGAAGAGAAGAGAAGAGAAGAAGAATTAAACTTGGAAAAGACCACTAAGATTATCCAGTCCAACAACCAACCCATCACCAAGCTCACTAACGCATTTCCCTCAGTGCCACATCTCCATGCTTCTTGAACATCTCCATGGATAGTGACTCTATCACTCTACTGAGCAGCTTGTTTCAATGCCTGCCCACTCCTTCTGAGAAGAAATTGTTCCTAACATCCAACCTGAAATTCCCTTGGTACAACTTAAAGCCATTACCTCTTGTCCTATATGTACCCATATCCATATGCACCCACATCCAACATCTCATCTGCCAGGCTCAGAGCGTTGTTACGTGGGAGGATAAATATAC